AGGCCGTGCTGCTGCCCAAGAAGACCGAGAGCCACCACAAGGCCAAGTGAGGAGGAAGGTTTAAAACAACGAAAGAACAAAAGGCTCTTTTCAGAGCCACTTCTCTAATCCTAAAAAGGTGACACTTTTTCACTATGTGTCTCAAATCAGCCTTAACGGTGGAATAATTTTCCAGTTAAGGCTTTAGTCCTAGCTAATCCTCAACCCTTCTCCACACTCAATTGGTATTTATGGTGGCCATGTGCAGGCAAACTTACCACAATGGTATATTGATTACTGTGATTCGAGACTACTTGGAAACAGCCAGATTAAAGACACAAGACCTTCCTGTTTCCCTGGAAAGTAGGGATAAACGTATATGAAAAATGCTCTCCTGATACTAAGGTAAAGAGCAGTCTTGTTAGTGGACATAAATGAACTCTAAAGGCTAGGGAGTGGTAGAAACAAACCTTGTTAACATTTTTTACTAAATCGACTGCAGCTCAAATTCTGCTTCTATTTCCTCACTAAATCATGATCCCAAACGTCGGTTTTCTGTATTCTGTCAAGTCCTCACACATTTCTCAAAAATATAAACACTGGCTCTGCGGTTATTTCTTTGGCATAGGAAGTTTAAGTGGGCCTCTGCTTGTAATCAAACGTGCTTTTCCTCCTGTTCAATCTGTCCCATGTCAATTTATTTCTTTAGCCAGGTAGGGTGGAAGGGTACGGGATGGGGGGGAGGTTTAAGAAGAAAAAATTATTTTCCATCCCTACAGTATTTAGGATACATTGCCAATGCCAACAAGTTGACGTTGACATTTGTGAGCTTGACTATTATTTTAAAGTCGTTTATATTGAATATACAAGAACAATAAATTGACTTTTGATGATTACCTAAGTCTGTAGCTGGAAATTCTTTCGGGGTGGCTTATGGGTGACAAATTTTACTATCAAGTCAAAGCGGCTTTGGGGGGGATGCGGGAATGGTTTCCCTAAATGGTATACAGAAACCCATTGGGGTTATCAGCAGGAAGGTAGTAAATCTTGTATCTTAAAAAATTTGCCTTTAGGGAATAATTTTTTAAATGATGCTTACTGAAAGTATTCAAATACGATGTGTAGTATTCTGATTATTCATATTTTCTACCTGACAGCATATAGATTACCACACTGCCAAATGAGATCTTGAATACGGCAGTATCAAGCTTGGTGGTAACAAGGACAACACTGAATACTATCAACTTGATTCCAAATTTTGATGATGAAGAACCACAGTTTGAAAAAAAAAAAAAATAGGAACACTTCAGAAAAGCCAAATGCTGTTTTGAGAAGAGTGAGGTAAAATATCCTGGTATTTTGTTCATGTTTCTATATGGGCAAAGCTAGATCCTTTTATTCTAGGCCTCAGAAAGGATTGGAATATTTACCCCACTTACTAGTTCTGCCATCTAAGGAAATGGAGGCACAAAGACTTTCTTCTGTTTCCTTTTTTATTGAATCTTAATGTACTTACACTTTCCTTAAATTTTTATTTCATGATCAAGTACAATGCATTAAGGACACACCAATAAACCATGGCCTGTCCAAAAGAAATGCAGTCTAATGGGAAGAATCAGGCAAAAGCAAATAATGAAAATACAATGTAGCAAGAGACATAAGCATAGGGTATTAGGAGCGCAAAGAGGAGTAAGATCTGTGTGAAGGAACATCTGACCTAACAGTTAAAGGAAATTGGGAATTAGAGGAAAGTTGGGAATCATAGCAGAGAATGAGCAAGACTCCTGGCTTGTGAAATGTTCAGGCAAATGACACGAAGTTTGATACTGGCAATAAAGTGGGGATTGCAAGAGAAGGATGGAACCGGAGGGGATCTGCAGGCCACTCCCTTGGTTTAAAATACTATTTATAGACTAATGACTCCCAAATCTTTATGTCCATCCCAGACTGTATCTCCTGAGCTCAAATGTGCATATTCATTCTTGTAGATCTCCAGGAAACCCTAAATGCATCTCGGACTGATCACCACTATCACTACTCCAGTGAGATATCTTAGTAGATGTTCCCACCATCTACACGGTAGCAGAGCCCAAATGATCTGGTGTCACTAAATATTTGTGTGTCATTCCTACAGAAAAACTAAAGTCCTGGTATATGGTTACGAGAGAACCTTGAAAGCCCAGAAAGAGCTTAGGTGGAAAGCCACGAGATGATCAGTTTTGCACAAGGAGTGTTTTGAGAAGCATGGAGTATCGATGTCCACAGAACTAAAAATGTCCATGGAACTAGAACCACGTGTTGCTCCTGAATAAATCTTCACATAATCAGAACCGAAAGACTAATTTGGAAAATTATACTGACTGCATTATCTCAAGGAGAGGGGGCTCTACCCCGCAGCAAGAGTATTGTTCAGTGCGGACAGGGACTTCGCAATGTGTGGGCCCTTCTTAATAGCTGCTTCCCAGCCCATATGAAAGGAAGGCACTGTTTGCACTCAAGAACATCAATCTGGTTAGAAATTGGGCCTTAGATTGGATCACCATGGCATTGAGGAAAGGAGTTGCAAGGGAGGGCATTTGCTTTCCTCCAAATTCCCTAGATTACGGACAGTATACATACTTTTTCTTGGAAGGTATTAGGACATTTCTATTTGATAAAATCATGGCATCATCCTAAATTCCAGCTGTGGACATCCCAGGTTCTACTCACCATAAAGTCACTTACAGGAAGGCAGATAGCCTGATTATGGTCGATGGTTTTAACAATTAGCTGTGACCCTACTATACAATTATAAAGTACCATGTAATTTAGAAATTTTTTTCCATCCGTTTCACAAAGTGGAGAAGGGTACATTTTGGAGGTAGTCTCACTGTATGCTAAGTCTAAGTTCTTTACTGTTCTGAGATGGACGCCAGACAAGAACAGGTAAAGCTAAGTAAAATACAACCCGGGCCGCCTATCAAGACAAAGTAGGAAAACGCACCTATAAGGAATCTTGTACATACTTAGAAACCACAACTGTGAAATGCCCGGAAATGGGGCACACCCGTGCAGGGAAACAGGCCTTTTCAGCATATGTGGTGGCTCTGAAAAGAGCCTTTGGGAAGGAGTGGGAGACCGTGTGGCTCAGGCCCTCTCGCCGCGGATGCGGCGCGCCAGCTGGATGTCCTTGGGCATGATGGTGACGCGCTTGGCGTGGATGGCGCAGAGGTTGGTGTCCTCGAAGAGCCCCACCAGGTAGGCCTCGCACGCCTCCTGCAGCGCCATGACGGCCGAGCTCTGGAAGCGCAGGTCGGTCTTGAAGTCCTGCGCGATCTCGCGCACCAGCCGCTGGAACGGCAGCTTGCGGATCAGCAGCTCGGTGGACTTCTGGTAGCGCCGGATCTCGCGCAGGGCCACCGTGCCGGGCCGGTAGCGGTGCGGCTTCTTCACGCCGCCCGTGGCCGGCGCGCTCTTGCGGGCCGCCTTGGTGGCCAGCTGCTTGCGCGGGGCCTTGCCGCCGGTCGACTTGCGCGCCGTCTGCTTCGTGCGAGCCATGACTCCAACGCTCAGTTGCAGTGAAAGGCGCGAGCTGGTCAGAGTATTTATAGTGAGAGCCAGAAGCTGATTGGGCAGAAGGGAGACTACACAACCGGGAACCGGATTGGTTAAGGGCTCGAGCTTTTACTTGTGCCCCAAATGCCCTGATGTGACTTGCCCATGACCTCAATATGTATGTATGTTTTCTGTCCGCTTTCTACCGGCGATTTCCAGTATAAATAAACACCAGCTACGTAAGAAATAGCAATTTTTCTAGGATCCACATCAGAACAAAGTAACAGAACGAAAAATTATTTTAAATAGTATTTTCTTAACCCAATATATCCAAAATATTCATTTTGAATGTGGCCAGCAACTGTTAGATATTTTACCTTCCTTTTTGTTTTGTACGACCCCGCAGAGTACAATATATTCCATAGATCCGCACCCCTTAAGTCAGACTAGCCACGTGCCCAGTGACTGCCAGCCACGATTGGCTAGTGGTTACCACACAGGACAGCTCAACTCTATACCCTCTCCTCTCGATTTCTTATTCTTTGAATATTTAATTTTTTAAAAAATTTTCTGCTAGAAAAAAATCAAATTGGCATGTGAGCAATCCAAGGCAAGTAACCTCACAGAAAAACATCCTTACATAAATTTTTCAGTTGCAGATAATATCAGGCAGTCCCACTGCAGCATGCATGCTTTATTTTTCTGCTATCCTGGAAATTCAAAATTATAACAGAAACCGACTGTCTTGTTCTATTACTTTGGGGGTGGAGGGGTTGGCTCTGCCATGGGCATAAAGCATTGTGTGTCTGCAATTTACCATAATGACTCATAATCCCTTTGTCTTAAAGAATCTAATTCCCCACCACCAGTAAGCTACGCAGGGATAAACTAAACCACCCTTTGCATCTACATCCAGCACTTCTCATTAGCAACCGGCAAAACCATAGGATAGGCTCCTTGCAAGGCATCGTGCATCTTGAGGACCCCTGAGCTAGAAGTCACCAAGGCCAGCAATTATAGACTCTAATTCTATTCGAGCATCAAGACCTTTAAGCCACAATAAAAAGACTAAGACAAACACATTTTAAGAAGAGGAATGATCATCAGTAAAATTAGCTACCTATTGACTTTCCTAATGGAAAACAGGCCGCATTAAGTCTGTCAGAATTCTAAAGGCTTTACAAATAGCTTTGGCTCCATATGGAGGTTTGGGTTGATCCGTGTATCTTCAGAATGTCTTTAATTGTCAAGAGCCAGGACAAGGTTTTAAAACTGCTGCCCCAAAGAAATACATCACCAGAATTTATCCCTTTAAGAGGCTTATAATATGGGAGGTTAGGAACACCTGTTTTCATGAGTTAAGGACGCAATGCATAGTCTGTATTCCAAATGCTGGTGAGCCCAAACCAGCCTTCAGAATGTTCGATACACTAAGATGGGATGAAGGCATAGAATTTCAAGAATCTCAGGCTTTATAAAAGCGAACTTTAAATTTCCCTCTTTTGCCCAAGTTGTGAGGTTTATGCTAACTGTTGTTAAGTTGTTTTTAAAAATGCAAAGGATGAAGGTTTTTCAAAGTGCTCAGTTCTTCAGAGTCGTAGGTGGCTCTTAAAAGAGCCTTTGGTTAGACTGGGAAGAGCTGGGGTGGCAGGATGAACCACGATTCTACTTGCCCTTGGCCTTGTGGTGGCTCTCGGTCTTCTTGGGCAGCAGCACGGCCTGGATGTTGGGCAGCACGCCGCCCTGCGCGATGGTGACGCGGCCCAGCAGCTTGTTGAGCTCCTCGTCGTTGCGGATGGCCAGCTGCAGGTGGCGCGGGATGATGCGCGTCTTCTTGTTGTCGCGCGCCGCGTTGCCCGCCAGCTCCAGGATCTCGGCCGTCAGGTACTCGAGCACGGCCGCCAGGTACACGGGCGCGCCGGCCCCGACCCGCTCCGAGTAGTTGCCCTTGCGGAGCAGGCGGTGCACGCGGCCCACCGGGAACTGCAGGCCCGCCCGCGACGAGCGCGTCTTGGCCTTGGCGCGCGCCTTGCCGCCCTGCTTCCCGCGTCCGGACATCCCGAGGTCCAATGCGCCACTAGCAAATGCAGCAAGGGAGGGGCAAGGACAGTAGCTTTTATAACCGTTCTAGGGCGCGAAAAACAAGGTTTGGCGTTCCTTAAGGAGGCACTTTCATCCCAACCAATGGAAATGCGACCCTGGGATCCGTGCGTTCTGATTGGGCAGCACTAATGCCCGAAATCGGGGGGATAGTCACCAATCAGACACAGGAGTGTAGCTCACACCGTATTTGCATAAGGGCTTCTATATAAGACGGGTAAGTGGCGCTTTGCTCGCTGCGTTACTTTCTCTTTCCTCCTGAGGGCGGTCGGAGTGTCGCCAGCATGCCCGAGCCCGCCAAGTCGGCTCCAGCCCCGAAGAAGGGCTCCAAGAAGGCGGTGACCAAGGCGCAGAAGAAGGACGGCAAGAAGCGCAAACGCAGCCGCAAGGAGAGCTACTCGGTGTACGTGTACAAGGTGCTGAAGCAGGTGCACCCCGACACGGGCATCTCGTCCAAGGCCATGGGCATCATGAACTCGTTCGTCAACGACATCTTCGAGCGCATCGCGGGCGAGGCGTCCCGCCTGGCGCACTACAACAAGCGCTCGACCATCACGTCCAGGGAGATCCAGACGGCCGTGCGCCTGCTGCTGCCCGGGGAGCTGGCCAAGCACGCCGTGTCCGAGGGCACCAAGGCTGTCACCAAGTACACCAGCTCCAAGTAAACTTGACAAGTAAGCGTCCTGTCATCCAACCCCAAAGGCTCTTTTCAGAGCCACTTAACTTTTACCAAGATAGAGCTGTTGCGCTTTGCCTATTGAAAAGTCTCGGTGACTGGATCCCGGATCATTTTCTCCAGGAGCACCTTGAGCACCCCGTGGACTCCTGTAAGTGAAGCCAGATGACGGGCTTGGCAGTCCGTGCATGTTGTGCACAGCGTTATGGTGGCGCTTGCCATCACCCAGATCCAGTCACAGCCCCTCCTACTTTGCCACAGCTAGACCTGATGTTGAGGGTATAGACGGGAGCACTAAAAAAGTCAAACACCGGTGCACTCAGGAGGAAAGAGGCGTTTTGAACTTTTCAGACCAAATTGAAAACTAGAGCCGCGCAGGCCGGAAAGCCTCACCGCTGGATTCTGCTCCCTTCCTCCTTGCAAGCAAAGGTGGAGGGAGGTACGTGTCCGGAGCTTCTCGTGGGTCGCTGAGACCGTCTTGGGGGAAGGCGAGGCGGACTTTGCCGTGCCCTTGCAGGGGAAGGAGTGTCCTGTGGACTCCGGTATGAATATTGAGGGAAGAAAAAGAAGTTAGTGGGTATAGTCCTCCGCTTGCTAAGGCACAGTCATCTCTGACTCTCAAATTAGGCAAAACAGAAGTAACTTACCTGAGGTCACACAGCAAAAAAATGGTGAATGGAATTTAAGCTTCCAAACTTTGAGTCCGTGCTTGTAGTAGGATCTACTGCCCGTTTTAGATCGTAATCCCCACCTCTGGGAGGCTGGAGAGCGCGAATGAAACCCCAGAACAGGTATTGGCTCTTATGAGTCATTCTTACACAGCAATTAACTGATTCAAGCCTATCCGGCCTTAACTCTGTTCCCAGAGCCCAACTAGGTTCTTAGGGCCACCAGGGCCACTTCTAGGCTCTTGTGTCTTGCAGCACATTACATAAGGCATGGATTTCTGTATCTTTCCTCTAAAATGGGAATAAGTTGGAGATTACTTGGATAAATGTAAAGGGAGCTTGCAACTTTTAGTCCCTCGGTGTTCATTTGTTTTCTGCCCTTGTATCTTTTCATATGTATTAGAATCACATGAAATTATTAAAGTGAAGACACATTATTACAATAGGAAAGCATTTTGCTACAGGAAAGCAGTAAACCCGTTATACTCTGCCCCAAATTCTATATACAATCCTCTGCCACCCTATTGCATCAAGGTATTGACAAAACGGCAGTAATATTTATTACTCTTCCCAGATTTTAAAATAAATCTCTGTAATAGTAGACCAACTCAAAGTCATCAATTAAAGTTAACTATCTCTACTTTGCCTTCCAATAATCTTCAGTGACTTCACCAGCAAATGAATGCTGCAGTGGATTTTAAAATGCTTTTCTTGCTACTCCCCCAAATCCAACTGTACCTCCTAAACCATTCTTTCATCCAATTAACATTTTATTTAGCATTTACTATTCGTTACAGGCCGCTCATTGTATGTTGGGTTAGGGATGGAAATTCTTGAACCTTATTTCTCAGTCACCACTGGTGTTCCTGAAAATAGGTAAAACGTTCATGGAGGAAAATTTGGCAATATCTCTCAAAACAATGCATATATTTTTGGGCACCTGGGTGGCTCAGTTGGTTAAGTGACTGCCTTCAGCTCAGGTCATGATCAAGTCCTGGGATCGAGTCCCACATTAGGCTTCCAGCTCCATGGGGAGTCTGCTTCTCCCTCTGACCTCCCCTCTCATGCTCTCTCACTCTGTCTCTCTTTCTCTCAAATAAATAAATAAATCTTAAAAAATAATAATAATAAAAGACCCTCTCTTTAAAAAAAAAAAAAAGCATATATTTTTACAACCAGAAACACCACCTCGGGGGTGGCACCATTCTTGAAAATGTACAAAATGGCATATTACAGGCTTTTGCAACAGCCCAGTTAGTAGAATAGATGACAAGGAGCAATCTGAGTGATCAAAAACGAAGGAATGAGTTACAGGACATTATTCTGTCTGATGGTAAGAACAATTGAGAATGTTCTTCATAATAACTGGTGTTTATTGCTTACCAAATAATGTCCTAAAAGTTTCCTTACATACATCCAATTACCGAATCTTTATAACAACCTGATAAGTTAAATTACTACTTGCCTGTTTTATAGATTATAAAATGGGGATTCAGAGAGGTTGAGTAAATTCCCTGAGGTTGCACAGCTAATAAATAGTAAAAACATAATTAAAAAAAAAAAATCTCTTCTGAAGCCATATTTGCGACCACTGTGTATTATCAGCCTTCTCTGGATATCGATATGGGATGATTTCCAAGATCTATTGGCAAGTACAAAAAATACAGGATAGTATGCAGTAGAATTTTCTGCATGTATGTTTATATGCTTGCAAAATATTTCTAGAGGGTTTCTAGGTTAAGCTGCCATGGGTGAAGGGAGGATCTTTTCAACTGTAACCCTTTTATGCTCTTAAATCATGTATGCATTGCCAATAAATGAATGAATAACGGATAAACAAATAAATAAATAAATCTGAGAATCCCCCTGCTCAAATATTGAGAAAATAATATTAATAAATAAATACTTCAGTAAAGATGTGTGTGGAAAGCCTCAGGAGCACAGGAGAGATAATATTACCAGTGTGTATGGGGGGGTGGGGGGGTAATACAAAACTGTTCTAGGCAGGTGAAGTAAGAAAGTGGGTGTCATATTCCAGGAGTTCGTAATAGTTGGCGGGACTAGAGTCTGCAAGAGTAGGCAGAAGGGAGCAGCCCAAGGGGCCGACCAAAGAGTCCAACAGAATTTTACACCCGGGGCTTCATTCAGTACTAGGTGTGTGGTCCTTAAAATGATGAGAGGACCTCAAGATAAAACAACTAGTAGGAACTGTGAAGAGCTTATCAAGTAAGATTCTGAAATATGCCAAATTCTAGATGCCAATATAAGTGTTTGGTTTTTTAAGTGAAGCAGACTCTCAAATTATTTACTAAATCAATCCAGCATCTGTAGGATTTCTTTGCTCCATGAGCATGAAAGAGAGACAGAAAGCATCACCGGTCTGTTTTGGAAGCAGTGGAGGAATCTTGCAAGTGTCTATTACAGGTTGAACGGAAGACTTCATAATGCAACGTTGTTACTTTTGTAGCTTATGATCAAATAAGCCAGGGGATCAGAATGGCACACTGTGGGTGGATATAGGTCAAGATCTGTGCAACAATGTCTACGAAGTCTCAGGAAACCCCTTACAAATCAAATCATACTCCTGTGTTTTTATTTAACTGAAAACAACCCGGTGTTAGCTTCGAGCCCTGGCCCAGAGCTCCATATTGGCCAGGCAGCATGGCAGGACCCCACAGGGCAGCCTTGAGTTCATATTTTACATGAAGAATTAGAAAAGAGGTTGAAGAAGATTTCCTTTCAGACAAGACAGTTGGGGCACCTAGCATCCTTTGATGGGGCTTTATTGTCTATTATCCGGGAGGTCCTTTCGAATGTGTTTATTGGCTTATTGTCAGTAAAAAGGGTCTTCTTTTTTTTTTTTCTACATTTAGTAGAGAAACATTCCCCATCATCTTTCATGCAAGTTGTTTTGTTTTTTTTTTTTCTAAATTGGTTTGCTTTAACCTCCCATTTTCCTCTCCGAACTTACTCTTCAGTCTGTCTCAGAACATGCGAGCAAGACAGAAACTGTGACAAAGGCCGAAATAATCCACAGAGCTTGCGACCATGTGTAACACGAACGAAATTCAGCATCATGCATTAAGGGAAGCAGAATATGCACATTATTGCAAATCCCAGTTATTAGTCAGGCAAATCATTGGAGGGCCCATAACTTTACCTCTGTGTATAAAGAAAATTAATGGCTCTAATCATAAAATAGGACCATCTGTTATACAGCATACACTAGTCTAGCACTGAGGAGACCCAGTGAAAAAAAAGTCTGAGATTTCTTGTTCTTGTGGCACATCGAGGGGAGGAGGGAGCCAGACAATCAGAAATAAATTAATAAAATCTAAACTATATCAGCCCCTTGATGAAGTAGTTTGTATAAAATAAAGCAAGGAAGTGGGTAAGGAACTGGGAGTCCCAACTTGAACTGGGAGACCCTTGCACAGGGTCTCGCTGGGGCACCAGCGCTTCAATGAGCGCTGACAGAGTCGCCATCTGGGGGAAGCTGCTCCAGGTGGAAGGAACAAGGGCGAAGTACCCCAGACAGCTCCCTGCTTAGCATGTTCTGGAAACAGCAAGAGAGGCCCGTGTGCTTGTAGCAAAGGGAGTAATGGGGTGAGAAGTTTTGCTTCAGATGTCTGCCTGTTTCTCTGAGTCCAACTTAATGCCTGCCTTGAGCCTCAAAACCCAGAAGGTTTTTGCATAGTCGCAGGTAAGCTCTGCACAAAGAGAAGATGGCCCCACCAACACCAGGATCTAGATCTAGGGAAGCAAATGACATTCTTGTAAAACTCTCCCTAAAGAGGTGAATTCTAACAAGAATCTTGTTCCCAGCCATACATGCCCCCAGCACCAAGACATCTGGAATGACACTGAGGGACTGATGTCCCAACAGATGGCTTTTTACTGCTTAATGGAATAACAATACATAGCGCTTAGAGGATGTGTTGGGGGGAGTTTTCGTATCCTTAGTCATCTACTTCATATTTTCAACTTTTCCATTTCATCCAACTCTTGCAGACCCCAAGGCTAACAATTTTGTAAACAGTCCTCATTTTGGGAAGTATATAACAAGATCTTAAACAGGTCCATAAAAAAACATGAACCCTGATATTCATTAACAAATTATTTATGGTGACAAAAACATTTGAGGACAGTCCTCTTGGGCAACACTGAGGGAGTAGATAGGGATAACTGCTGTTTCTAGAGGGGGGTTTTGGGGGGGTTACTGTGACTGCAGAGTAAGCGAGCCCAAACTTTGTTGCCATAAAGCAAACATTTTGTTATATTCATGGATTCTGTGATCAGGATGCCTCTGGGATGTCTGCAGCCTCAGATGCGAGTTTTCCTGGCCCAGAGTGGTTTTTGGGACAGGTGCTGAGGGCTGGAATCATCTGTGGGCATCTTTAGTCACTCTTCTGTCATATGACAGCTAGGCTGAGCCAGCTACGGGTTATGGGCTTCTTAACAGGATGGTGGCCTCACCGTGGTCAGACTTCTCATGTGGTGGCGGACCATTGTAAAGGTGATCTCCCAGGATACCCAAGCAGAAACTGGGACCTCCCACCTCAGAATAAAAGAGTCCTAACAAGGCCCTACACTGCCCTACAAGTTTTGTGTCTGATGATTCAGGATAGAAAGGGACAAAGGCGGGAGCAGGAATGTCACTGTTAGAAAAGGCCCCTGAAAACCAGACGAAACAGACAAGGTCAGTTTACGACATCTGCGCGGCCCTAGGGATAATTCTTTGTCTAGGATTCCTGAGAATCTCAGGACTTCCAGCCCCTGTGGTTCTGACCTGTAAAAGCCATTTGTGCCCCCATCCACGGAGACGACTGCAGCACTCACACGTTTTCAAAATACCCCTGCAAGGGGCGGTACAGTTTGATTGGAAAAAGAGAAGGGGGGGGTCTTAATTTTAGTAATTGGGATTTAGCGCTTCCGTGATGTGTATTTATCACAAGAGGTACCTGTTAGAAAATGGCCCCCGCCGGCCCCATGGTGTAATGGTTAGCACTCTGGACTTTGAATCCAGCGATCCGAGTTCAAATCTCGGTGGGACCTTCTCCGCTTTTCCTTTACATGTTTTTTTTCTTCTTTTTCATTTTTCTTCCTGCTATCTCCCCTCTTAAAACTAACATTCCCCCCTCCCCTCCCTACCCCCCCGTAATCCAGCCAATACAGCAGCCAGAACGAGCACTAATATGATCGGAAGTCCGCGCCCACAGACCAGGGGCAGAGAGCCGCACAGGAAGAAGCAGCCGCCAATCCTGGAAACTGTGCGGGGACCCGGGGGTGGAGTCGGGGGGAGTGGGGAGGGTGGTGAGAGGGGGGTGGAGTAGGGGGAGTATTTGAGACGTGTAACCTGGGAAGAGCTGGGGACCTGGCCTGGGAACGCAATCCCGGCGGCCTGGCCTCTCTCTGCGCGGCGCTCAGAGGATGGCGTTCAAGCCCACGGCCGAGCAGGTGCACTCGCCGTCTGCGGCCTTGCCCTCGGGCCACCCAGTCCTGCCGCAGCTGCCTCGCCTTTTCGTGCTACCGCTGCGCTCGAGGGGGGTCGCGCTGGGAGACTGTGCCCTCGCTCGTGCGGGCGGCCGCCGCTGGTGGCCCCGTAGAGGATTCTCACCCAGGACAAGCCTTTCGGCTCTCGAGGGGCGGCTTGCTCCCTTCGGTGACCGCCGCCTTTACCTGCCCACACCTCCAGCCTAGCTGTCACTGTTTCTGCCACGCACCTACCCCCGCCCCCATAGCTTCTAGTCACCCGCCAGGGTGACCTGGTTTCTATTTTCCCATTCCCCTCCCCTTCTCATTTTTTATCTGCTAAGCGGTTTTGCCCTCCTCTCTGGCCTCTTGTTATGAGGTCCGGTTCTCTCCCCACTCCTCATCTATTAACTTAGACCTTTATTAATTTATTAATTTAGACCATTATTAACTCAGCCCTTCTCCCTGAGGCCATCCTTGGCTCC